AAAAAAAAAAAAAAAAGGCGGAATGCAGGCTTTGTCCCGTCGGATCGTAATGGAAAAACATTTTTAAAAGTTCGACCTCCACTTTTTACCGTATTCAGGTAGGCAAATTGAACTATTATTCGAAGCAGGAACAATTCTGAATAAAATACGTTAAGTATTTACTATCAAGTAATTTCCGTAAACTCAAACTTGTTTAATGTAACCGAACTCGGTCGACCGTTTATTATTAAACTTAAGTGTAGGTTTTTAGTATTTTTAAAATGCTAATTGTGTTGTAATTTAATTGGTTTTATAATTTATGCTAATATACATCTGTACTTAATTGATTTTATAGTAATGTGTTTTTATTTTGTAATCTATTCCAGGATGCCTTATTTATTACATAAGGAATACACTTAATGTCGCCAGTAATATCTAACAAAATGCATCAACACAGAAGACGAAAGAAGCGTCCGAGTTACGGAGTGAGGACGGTGGAGATCGTGCGGGGAAAGAACGGATTCGGATTCACCATTTCCGGACAGGCCCCCTGCATACTGAGTTGTATAGTTAGCAACAGTCCGGCCGAGAAAGCCGGACTCAGACCCGGAGATTTTCTGATAGCCGTGAACGGACAGAATGTTTCCAAAGTTCCTCACGACGATGTGGTGAGACTGATTGGAAGTTCAACCGGATTGCTTAAGCTGCAGATTGCGGAAAATTACTATTCGGATTCTTCCGAGGAGGAATTTGTCACCGTTGCCAGAAGCCGTCCGAAATATCCCCACAGAATGAGAAACAGACAGCAGTTGAATGTTTGTCGTGCTGAGAAGGTCGTTCACGATCTTCAGACTGGTGCCTTGTTTGTGGATCATATTCAGGGAAGTAAAGTTGAAGCCGAAATACATAAACGGTCTCGGGACCAGAAGTGTCCATCCGCGGAAACGTTACTGCCATTAACCGGCCGATCGAATAAGGCTCTGTTAGATTTAATTTTACAACAAAGATTACAAGAAACGAACAATAGAGTTACTTCTGCTAAGCCGTCCAATAGAGAGAATGCTCATATTTTAAAACAGAAACAACAAGTAAACATTGTGAAAAAAAAGGAACAAAAACAACATAAAAATCGAAATCATAGTGTTCATATAAATTCTCCTTGTTCTACTAACGAAGTATTTAATTCAATTTTTACCGAGCAGGATTTAAATGACATTCTCTATCCGTCAAATTTCTTCCGTCAAGTACAAAATGAAGAAAATGAAGAACCAAATGATTCGGTGATCTTAAAAGCAGTTGTCGGTTACTTGGGAACAATTGAAATGCCCAAAGAGCCACAACTTCCGAGTTCACGTTTGCAAACAATAAGAAGTTGTATTAGAAGACTTCGTATTGAAAAGAAAGTTCACACTTTAGTGTTACTTTGTGTTTATCCCGAAAGTGTTGTGCTTACTAATCCACATGGATTGACCTTAGCAGAGTTTCCGGCAGAAAAAATAACATTTAGTGGTGTTTATGCCGACGATAAGAAATTTTTTGGATTAGTGACCAGTCATGGAACAAGTAGTGATGAAATGAGTGAAGGAAGTCACGAAGGACCAGTATCTGTTAGCAGTTCATGTCATGTTTTTATGGTTGACACTAAATTATTGCTTCATCATCAACATATTAAGCGTGCCAAAGCATTTCGGATAAGTTGCACACCAGATCCTGTAACTAATAAATGCAGAGAATTTCCAGAATCTGCAGATTCGATTCTTCAAGCTATAGTAAGTTTATATAGAAATAGATTGGCAATCAGTGTTGATGCTGCATCGGGAATGGTTGATTTTCATCTTCACATGTCACCTCAACCTAGTAATACCAGCAGCAATAGTAGCAATAGCGACAGTGGTATTGGATTCCGAGATGAAGGTGAGCCAAAGTTGAGCTAACAGTTTATCTTATTTCACTATTATACTATTTAAATAAAAAAATAAATCAAACTTTCTGTTCCTTCATTTTAGATTGAAACAATAGAGAGTAAAACAATATTTAATTTTACTGAAGTAATTTCACTTTAAACAATTTTGTCATACACGTCTTTTATATTAATTAATAATGATACTGATCATATGTATAAAAAAAATTAAATTTATGTAATTTTAATGTTCACGATTTATAGGATTATCTCTTACCTGTTAAAAACAATGCTTAGGTAGTTTTGTTTGTTTTGCAATCTCTGATTAAATAAATAAGTTACTAGATAAGTTAACCAATAAATTTTGGAATTAATTTAAAAAATGGTATTTGAATTTCTTGCAAGATTAGTTTTTTCCTTGTTTTAATCTGTGAATGAATGTTTATATATTCATATAAATCTTTTGGTTATTTATAAATAAAACAAGTAAAAACTATTTTATTCATTAATTTTCAATAATACTTATAAATAAAATATTAAATTTATAATCATTATTCAAATATTTCTTTTAGTTACAGAAGCGAAATTAAATCTAGCCAAAATATGCAACTGAACTTATAATCTATCATTCTTTTTATCTTATGATTTTGGTTGACAATTCATTAATGGAACATTATTTAAAGAAAAAGTAACTTATATAAGTTTAATCTATTAAAATTAAAATAAAAGATTTTCTTTATACATTTAATATTTTTGATGTTTCGGCAATACTGTATTACTTGTGAAGTGTTTATTGTGTACTATTGAGGAAATAATTTAAATTTGAAAAGTTAATATATTGGTTTATTAACATCATTTATCCTGGTACATTTTATGTATTTTGTGAAAATTTAAAAATACATAGAGGGTTACAATTTGATATGCATAAATAAAGTTAAACAAACATATCGATATTTTGAAGCCAAGTTTTAAAAGATTAATCTCTGTTTAAACCATTATTTATTAAATTTTAATTTAAATTGTCTTCACTAAATCTAATTAAATTTAAATTAGATGTAGAGAAGGAATAAGTGGTTGTAGAACTTTTTTGTTGTTTAAGCAAAATATTTTATTTATGAAATAAGCATGAGTAATGATCTAATCAGAAAATAGTTGTAAATATATCTAAGCATTGATTATAGAATGCTTAATTATATTTTGAAATCATTAATATTTATACACTATATATAACTGAATTTAAAATTGACAGTTTATAATGTATAAAAATATTTTTGAAGCTTAAATTTCATCAAAGTTATAGTTGTTTGGATTGTTTTTTTTATTAATGTGTATAACTGGGTGACATAAAAATATTTTTAATAAAGTTTTAAAAAAGTTTAGTATGTATCACAATACATTTATAACATACTATCTGCTCTATCTGTCAGTAGTACAAATTCATTTGCAATTTTTTCTCGTAAATATACAGGGTAGTGGCATCTGATTAAGTGTGCAAAATTGAATTTATGATAAAAATATTTTGAAATAAAAATCAAAAATATTGTTACTTGTGCAAAAAATCTGTAAAATTAAAATTTATTTATTGATCGGAAAACTTAAATTCATTTTTTTAATGCTGTAATAAAATATATGAAGCATAATCACATTTAACAAAATTGAAAATTTTTTTTCACATATTTTAAAATTACAATTTACACATTTTTGTAATAAAAGACTAATTTTATTTTTTCTCATAAAGTCCAAGAATCAACTTTTTTCACATATGATCCATAGGTTATATTTTTATACTGATAAAATGGGTTAATTAATAGTAAAAGATGTAGTCTGGAAATAAACATTATGTTAAACGTCATTTAAATGTGTTCATACATATTTAAATGAAAAATTAAATAAAAGACAATACCATTTAAAGTAATTGATATTTTTCTAAAATTTATAAACACAATTGTTAGTAAATATATTAAAAATAATCACAATAATAATGTTATAAGAAATTTCATATATGTAATGAGTTTTTTTTTTTTAAGTTAAAAATATTACCTTTTGACTTGTGATTAAAAAATTATAGGCTATAATAATAATAATATTTTACTCTTGGATTCACAAGAGAAAAATATTGAATGTATGCAATTTAATTAAATTATTTATTATTATAATTTTTTAAAACAGTTTTTACAGATCTTCATTATTATATTTAATATTACTATTTCTATAATTCTTATAGTTTTGTCTTTAGCTTTTAATGTTTAAATATAGTGCACAATTTATTTTTATTTTTTTTTTTATTGTTACTTCTATCTTTATAAATTTATTGTTGTATAATAATTTAATAATACTTTTGTAGGATCCTGAATCTGGAGATAACTGAGAACATTTAATCTATAAATTCTCTTATTACTTTTAGAATAGTCTGTTTTAAATCAAATAATTGCATAGGAAGCTATTTTAAAAATATAATAGCTAATATTGATATGCAATTTCAAATATCTGTGGAAATTTATTATATTAGGAACCACTGTTAAAAATAACATTATTTGGTAGATAAATGATGTTATTTTAAGAAAAATGTAAATTCAGATGTATTGGTCAAATTCAAATTTTGCATTAACTTTGGCAAACTTATTATAATTTAATGGTAAAGATAGTGCAGTTTATATTTAAAATGGCATTATTGTTACATTACAATTCAAAAGCAGGAGATTATAAATCTTTGAAAACATGCAATTAATAAATTTTTCTTGCTACTTGTTCATGAGTAACAAGAAACATTTATTGTTTGTTTTGTAAGATTAATTGTATGGAGTGTAAGATTTATAGAAGAGAGAAAAACATGTTGTCATGTTATGTATAGTCTAGAAAATTTTTAGATTTTGGAACATGTGTTTATCAATTTGTTGTGACTTTGTTTTTGATCTGAGCTTCAAAAACATTAATATGGAAAAATCTTTAAGACATTTTTGTAAGCTGTCATTATTATTATTTTTTTATAATAGTTATCAAATATATAATTAATACACTCATAAATAAATATCTAGACTAATTTCATAAAAATAATAAAATATCTAAAATTACTCCAATTTTTTTTTGTAATAAATTAGAGTAATTTTACACACTTTTTATGAAATTAGTCTAGATATTTCAAATTAAATTTTATAAATTGTTTATTTTAAAATCTTATTTTAATACACAGTTTATATAACCAAACTTTATAAGTTTCCGATGTTAATTTTATACTTTCACTTATTATCATTTAATATCATAATAAAAAATTTATGACCAAGCCAAATCTAAAATAATTTAATCAAATATTTTTTTACTAGAAAAATGATCAGAACCACACTCATAATATTTTAATCTTTGATTAAAAAAAATTACTAAAATGACAAATTTAATCATCGACACAAACTGAAAGTTTATCTGCCAAATTTAAATTAATGAATGGTATATGATAATTACATAATTTCAAATATTAAAGAAAAAATTTTTAGGCTTTGTATAGTTGAAGACATTTTCTCTGTTAACCAATTCTTTTTCTATAAAATAAACAGTTCTAATTTGTAACTACAGTAGAGCGTCGATTATCCGAAAGTCAATCATCCGAAAGAATTCCAGTCGGCAAATTTAAATTTTCGTCAGTGCTGTGGTGCTGCAATCTTTGGCTATGTCTTGGGCTATTCAAATATTTTACGTTTTTGATACTAAATTAACNCAAGCATAACCTTACACATTGATTTATGGATTCTGAAAATCTCAAAATATCGAAGAGGAACTCTATAAACTTCAAAGACCTAAACATGACATCAAGTACTTGAAATCCTGACTTGAAGTCTACACAATATAATGTTACACAAAAACTAAGCAACAAAAAGAAAAAAAAAGAAAATAAAATGTATGTATATCATAGCAATGTATGTTAGATTGTAGAATTTTTTAATATTTAAATCATGCTTCACATTTGCATATTTTTATTCTGTTTTCAATAGTATTTGATGATGATTAATTTTTGGAGCATCAGTTTGATAAAGGTCATTAAATATAATTGAAAATGTTAATTTTTCTCAGTTTAATAAATCTTTTTTGTTGCTGCACAAAGTTGTATGTAGATGATTGCTTTCCTAAAGTTTTGAATTCTTATAAAGTATATTTGATATAGAAAAAAATTATTTTTAATATTGGGTATAAGGGAAAGAATAGTTTTTTAAGTAAATTAACTTTTGGTAGGATAGGGAAAGCATACCTGACAAATGTTAATTCTTTTGATATGAAATTCTCTGTTATTTGCATTTTTATGTGTAAATAAAAATTTTTTAATACAGTACTGTATTTTAATGACTATAACCATGATGATCAAACGGCAGCTTTTAACCCTTATTGCAGTTCATGTATACTTATACATTTTTTTTATAAACTTAATCAAAATCATTACCTATGTATGAATATTATTTAAATTTGCTGACCATTATTTATGTGATATACATATGGATTGTATGCAAAACTTGCAACTTAACTTTAAACAGGTAACTGAAAGCTAAAGGGGTATATTTGTAAAGGTAAAAGGATTTCATAAAGTACCAGTAAAGTAATAGTGATATCTAACTATATATAATATAAAATACTATTCTGATAGAAAATGCATCTTTTATGTATTTCTAATAGGTGATATATAGCTCTTATCTTGATAAGACTTGATCATCCCTGACATGTAACTTGTGATATTGTATTCCCTATAGAAAATTGCTAGAACAAAAATAAAACCCTTGCATAATATGTTCCACCATATACTGCATGCCTGTGGAGCAGCCTTTGCTCCATAGGTGTGACTTTGTGATCACAACTTAAAATTGGAGTATAATCTGTCTCATCAAATTATCTTTTTCAAATATGTTTTTTTAAACGTGTATAGTTCTTGGGTTATACAAACAAAAATATGGTACTTATTATACAAATATTTCACTTATTCAGTTGGTGTTTTTTTGTTTTGAATGTTCATAGAAAAACTAATTTTTACTTAAATTATTTTTATATCACCTGTGTAATGTAATACAGCTGATAAATAAGTGCTATATGTGATCTTTTATGTTGGTTGTTTAATAAGTATGAAGAAAATGCCTAGGCACAGACTTGCTGAATGTAAATAAGATAATATTATAAATAGCAGTTTATAAGAAAATTCTACTTTATTTCTATTTGAGACGACTTAAACTTGTGCTTCAAATACAATAAAATGTACTGTACTTATTATCTTGGAATGCATATGTACTGAAGATAATTGTTATTAATTAAGCAGTATCAGTAAATAAGACTATAATTTGTGAAATTTTGGTTTTATTGACATTAAAAGAACATGTAACAATTAAAAAATGCACAACTTAAAGATTTATTAATTATATTTATTATTATTAATTAATAGTAATTTATCTATATTATCAATGAATTAAGAAATGCCAATAATTTAAACTAATGTATTGTGAGCTTATAATGATAAAAATTTAATACAGTAATACCTCGACTTACTCTATCCCGACTTACGTGAACCCGGAGTTACGTGATTTTCAAATCTCGTCGATTCATTTTTTGTTTGAGTGCCACGCAACTCTCAATTACTCACTCTCTCCACACTGTTGTTCGGCTTACATGTTCGGACGTGTCGTGCGGAATCGACACATAGCTACAATTTATTTTGTGTTATTTATTTCTGTGTTTGTTATATCTACGGAGACTCTAGAGACTCTATGCAGTGATTTCTTGCAACCGTGAACGAATCAAATGACGAGATAAGATTAACGAGAACATTTATTAGCTTACATACATCTGACTTGGATTTTACACAAATTGCGAAATTATACCCCGACTTACGTGAATTCAACTTACGCGGTTATTGCTCGGTCCCACCTATCGCGTAAGTTTTGAGTATTACTGTATTTGAAGTAATGATCGATATCTAAGGACAACTGATAACAATTGTGCATTATTAACTATATGTTGAGGCTGATAGCAGGAAAATACAGCTGAAAAATGCCTGTTGATCTGAAGGTAATGGTAACTATAACCACATTGTAATTACAAATGAAGTTTTATAAATGTCGTTTAAGTTATATATTTTGAAACATGCTGATTCTAATATAAAATTAATGATGACAATATCTGTGATCATATATAAAAATTATTAATTGAGTATAGAGGTCTTTTTTATTTAAATGTTTTTCAAGTTTAATTAAGCTCATCTTTGAATACATAAATAAAACTGAATGGAACATTAGGACATTTTTCCCTAATGGGAAATGTTCTGCATGAGTTTATAAACTGAAGGATTCCTCTTTTACAATATCCTAAAGTCTTGCAGAATGATAAAGATCCAGTTGACTCGTTGAGAATTTCAAGTGTCTACATGGTACTCATCACAGATGACAGGATAGCACGACTTGGTGCATGTTGGAGCCACTATGCAATTCTTAACTTTATGGTTAAAACAACGTGAGTTAAGAAGTCACTCCCATCCACAGTCTTCATTGGATGATTTGGTTAAGGTTTGTTGAGAAGAAAGAAAGCATGTCAGAAACAAGCATAACCTTACACATTGATTTATGGATTCTGAAAATCTCAAAATATCGAAGAGGAACTCTATAAACTTCAAAGACCTAAACATGACATCAAGTACTTGAAATCCTGACTTGAAGTCTACACAATATAATGTTACACAAAAACTAAGCAACAAAAAGAAAAAAAAAGAAAATAAAATGTATGTATATCATAGCAATGTATGTTAGATTGTAGAATTTTTTAATATTTAAATCATGCTTCACATTTGCATATTTTTATTCTGTTTTCAATAGTATTTGATGATGATTAATTTTTGGAGCATCAGTTTGATAAAGGTCATTAAATATAATTGAAAATGTTAATTTTTCTCAGTTTAATAAATCTTTTTTGTTGCTGCACAAAGTTGTATGTAGATGATTGCTTTCTATATTTACATAAATCACTCAAAGTTGTACAGTGTAGTACTTTTGTAGTACAGTGACATTCTGTTNTTAAAAATTTGTTAAGCATAAATAATTTGCACTAATGTATATATAGTTTTATAAATTTATATTGTCAACGAGTTTCTAATTAAAAATGACAAGGATATACTCAATTGTAAAGTAACAAAGAAAATAATAGTATACATATTAAAATTTTCTCTGATTAATATTTTATTCGGCTTCTAACAAATTAAAAATTATTATTATTATTGTTAACCTATATACAATTACCCAATAACGCGCAGAATATTAACTAAATTCTGAACATACATTTTTGCTGTTGAACGAAACAACAAAATAAACGAATGAGAAACAATTTTCGCACCCACCCATTTGTAGTTGTCAGGAATGCGCACGTAAGTAGTGCAGTAAAATAAAAAAAAATTCACAAAATGATAAGTTACGAAACTCAATCTAAAACGATTTACCTGATCAAATATAAATTTCAAAAATATAGGTCACATTTTATTACATTCTGTCCCGTTAAAACAGAGGTAATGAGAGATTAAATTACACCTTTTCAAACTCTTCCGTGTCAGGTATGTCTCTACATCAATCGTTATCATTTCCTTTTTATTTATTTATATATTTTTTTCGTTTTAATAGAGAACATGGACCAGAAAATTGTAGCTTAAAATTATAAAATAACCTTTACGTTTCTGTACGCGAGTAGGAATGTAATAATATATAAAATTGCCCGAGGAATGAATGGAAACAAACAATATCACATAGTATACGGAGAATATCACATAAATTTCAAGTTTGCTTTTATCATATTATATCTTATTTTAAAAAACCGAAGTTTTAAATGATAGCGTACAAGATAACAATCGATATTCGCTAAACGTTTGAAGATCATTATATACGTATCGAATATGCAGCAAGTTTTATGAGTCAGAGTAACTTGCGAACTGATTTATTATGTGTAGCCAGTCTTTAACTGGCGAGGCGATACACCGATCAGAAATAGTATTTAATGTTAAAATAACAACGTTAAAAGATACTTTACTGAATATACCAAACTTTATAAAGATAACAATTCATAAAGTTCGTTGCAGATCGTTGAGAACGAAAGCGAATTTTAACATCTGCACTTAGTATAGAACTCATCAGTAGACCAGGTGCGATGAGGTGCCGACCAATGATTACTTTGCTTTCCGTCCACGTGACCCAAACGGTCATCCATTTTGTACTTCCAGCCAGTGGGCATCGAATAGTTCACATTCTTCGGTGCATTGCCACAGATGGGAGGCTTTTAAACTCTTATCCTATTTCGACTGTGTAAGGGTAACCGTTGAAAAATTCCAAAAAAAAATCGGCCTATATTAGCTCGTACTGACAAATCCCGTAAATTAAAAAAAAAAAAAAAAAAGGCGGAATGCAGGCTTTGTCCCGTCGGATCGTAATGGAAAAACATTTTTAAAAGTTCGACCTCCACTTTTTACCGTATTCAGGTAGGCAAATTGAACTATTATTCGAAGCAGGAACAATTCTGAATAAAATACGTTAAGTATTTACTATCAAGTAATTTCCGTAAACTCAAACTTGTTTAATGTAACCGAACTCGGTCGACCGTTTATTATTAAACTTAAGTGTAGGTTTTTAGTATTTTTAAAATGCTAATTGTGTTGTAATTTAATTGGTTTTATAATTTATGCTAATATACATCTGTACTTAATTGATTTTATAGTAATGTGTTTTTATTTTGTAATCTATTCCAGGATGCCTTATTTATTACATAAGGAATACACTTAATGTCGCCAGTAATATCTAACAAAATGCATCAACACAGAAGACGAAAGAAGCGTCCGAGTTACGGAGTGAGGACGGTGGAGATCGTGCGGGGAAAGAACGGATTCGGATTCACCATTTCCGGACAGGCCCCCTGCATACTGAGTTGTATAGTTAGCAACAGTCCGGCCGAGAAAGCCGGACTCAGACCCGGAGATTTTCTGATAGCCGTGAACGGACAGAATGTTTCCAAAGTTCCTCACGACGATGTGGTGAGACTGATTGGAAGTTCAACCGGATTGCTTAAGCTGCAGATTGCGGAAAATTACTATTCGGATTCTTCCGAGGAGGAATTTGTCACCGTTGCCAGAAGCCGTCCGAAATATCCCCACAGAATGAGAAACAGACAGCAGTTGAATGTTTGTCGTGCTGAGAAGGTCGTTCACGATCTTCAGACTGGTGCCTTGTTTGTGGATCATATTCAGGGAAGTAAAGTTGAAGCCGAAATACATAAACGGTCTCGGGACCAGAAGTGTCCATCCGCGGAAACGTTACTGCCATTAACCGGCCGATCGAATAAGGCTCTGTTAGATTTAATTTTACAACAAAGATTACAAGAAACGAACAATAGAGTTACTTCTGCTAAGCCGTCCAATAGAGAGAATGCTCATATTTTAAAACAGAAACAACAAGTAAACATTGTGAAAAAAAAGGAACAAAAACAACATAAAAATCGAAATCATAGTGTTCATATAAATTCTCCTTGTTCTACTAACGAAGTATTTAATTCAATTTTTACCGAGCAGGATTTAAATGACATTCTCTATCCGTCAAATTTCTTCCGTCAAGTACAAAATGAAGAAAATGAAGAACCAAATGATTCGGTGATCTTAAAAGCAGTTGTCGGTTACTTGGGAACAATTGAAATGCCCAAAGAGCCACAACTTCCGAGTTCACGTTTGCAAACAATAAGAAGTTGTATTAGAAGACTTCGTATTGAAAAGAAAGTTCACACTTTAGTGTTACTTTGTGTTTATCCCGAAAGTGTTGTGCTTACTAATCCACATGGATTGACCTTAGCAGAGTTTCCGGCAGAAAAAATAACATTTAGTGGTGTTTATGCCGACGATAAGAAATTTTTTGGATTAGTGACCAGTCATGGAACAAGTAGTGATGAAATGAGTGAAGGAAGTCACGAAGGACCAGTATCTGTTAGCAGTTCATGTCATGTTTTTATGGTTGACACTAAATTATTGCTTCATCATCAACATATTAAGCGTGCCAAAGCATTTCGGATAAGTTGCACACCAGATCCTGTAACTAATAAATGCAGAGAATTTCCAGAATCTGCAGATTCGATTCTTCAAGCTATAGTAAGTTTATATAGAAATAGATTGGCAATCAGTGTTGATGCTGCATCGGGAATGGTTGATTTTCATCTTCACATGTCACCTCAACCTAGTAATACCAGCAGCAATAGTAGCAATAGCGACAGTGGTATTGGATTCCGAGATGAAGGTGAGCCAAAGTTGAGCTAACAGTTTATCTTATTTCACTATTATACTATTTAAATAAAAAAATAAATCAAACTTTCTGTTCCTTCATTTTAGATTGAAACAATAGAGAGTAAAACAATATTTAATTTTACTGAAGTAATTTCACTTTAAACAATTTTGTCATACACGTCTTTTATATTAATTAATAATGATACTGATCATATGTATAAAAAAAATTAAATTTATGTAATTTTAATGTTCACGATTTATAGGATTATCTCTTACCTGTTAAAAACAATGCTTAGGTAGTTTTGTTTGTTTTGCAATCTCTGATTAAATAAATAAGTTACTAGATAAGTTAACCAATAAATTTTGGAATTAATTTAAAAAATGGTATTTGAATTTCTTGCAAGATTAGTTTTTTCCTTGTTTTAATCTGTGAATGAATGTTTATATATTCATATAAATCTTTTGGTTATTTATAAATAAAACAAGTAAAAACTATTTTATTCATTAATTTTCAATAATACTTATAAATAAAATATTAAATTTATAATCATTATTCAAATATTTCTTTTAGTTACAGAAGCGAAATTAAATCTAGCCAAAATATGCAACTGAACTTATAATCTATCATTCTTTTTATCTTATGATTTTGGTTGACAATTCATTAATGGAACATTATTTAAAGAAAAAGTAACTTATATAAGTTTAATCTATTAAAATTAAAATAAAAGATTTTCTTTATACATTTAATATTTTTGATGTTTCGGCAATACTGTATTACTTGTGAAGTGTTTATTGTGTACTATTGAGGAAATAATTTAAATTTGAAAAGTTAATATATTGGTTTATTAACATCATTTATCCTGGTACATTTTATGTATTTTGTGAAAATTTAAAAATACATAGAGGGTTACAATTTGATATGCATAAATAAAGTTAAACAAACATATCGATATTTTGAAGCCAAGTTTTAAAAGATTAATCTCTGTTTAAACCATTATTTATTAAATTTTAATTTAAATTGTCTTCACTAAATCTAATTAAATTTAAATTAGATGTAGAGAAGGAATAAGTGGTTGTAGAACTTTTTTGTTGTTTAAGCAAAATATTTTATTTATGAAATAAGCATGAGTAATGATCTAATCAGAAAATAGTTGTAAATATATCTAAGCATTGATTATAGAATGCTTAATTATATTTTGAAATCATTAATATTTATACACTATATATAACTGAATTTAAAATTGACAGTTTATAATGTATAAAAATATTTTTGAAGCTTAAATTTCATCAAAGTTATAGTTGTTTGGATTGTTTTTTTTATTAATGTGTATAACTGGGTGACATAAAAATATTTTTAATAAAGTTTTAAAAAAGTTTAGTATGTATCACAATACATTTATAACATACTATCTGCTCTATCTGTCAGTAGTACAAATTCATTTGCAATTTTTTCTCGTAAATATACAGGGTAGTGGCATCTGATTAAGTGTGCAAAATTGAATTTATGATAAAAATATTTTGAAATAAAAATCAAAAATATTGTTACTTGTGCAAAAAATCTGTAAAATTAAAATTTATTTATTGATCGGAAAACTTAAATTCATTTTTTTAATGCTGTAATAAAATATATGAAGCATAATCACATTTAACAAAATTGAAAATTTTTTTTCACATATTTTAAAATTACAATTTACACATTTTTGTAATAAAAGACTAATTTTATTTTTTCTCATAAAGTCCAAGAATCAACTTTTTTCACATATGATCCATAGGTTATATTTTTATACTGATAAAATGGGTTAATTAATAGTAAAAGATGTAGTTTGGAAATAAACATTATGTTAAATGTCATTTAAATGTGTTCATACATATTTAAATGAAAAATTAAATAAAAGACAATACCATTTAAAGTAATTGATATTTTTCTAAAATTTATAAACACAATTGTTAGTAAATATATTAAAAATAATCACAATAATAATGTTATAAGAAATTTCATATATGTAATGAGTTTTTTTTTTTTAAGTTAAAAATATTACCTTTTGACTTGTGATTAAAAAATTATAGGCTATAATAATAATAATATTTTACTCTTGGATTCACAAGAGAAAAATATTGAATGTATGCAATTTAATTAAATTATTTATTATTATAATTTTTTAAAACAGTTTTTACAGATCTTCATTATTATATTTAATATTACTATTTCTATAATTCTTATAGTTTTGTCTTTAGCTTTTAATGTTTAAATATAGTGCACAATTTATTTTTATTTTTTTTTTTATTGTTACTTCTATCTTTATAAATTTATTGTTGTATAATAATTTAATAATACTTTTGTAGGATCCTGAATCTGGAGATAACTGAGAACATTTAATCTATAAATTCTCTTATTACTTTTAGAATAGTCTGTTTTAAATCAAATAATTGCATAGGAAGCTATTTTAAAAATATAATAGCTAATATTGATATGCAATTTCAAATATCTGTGGAAATTTATTATATTAGGAACCACTGTTAAAAATAACATTATTTGGTAGATAAATGATGTTATTTTAAGAAAAATGTAAATTCAGATGTATTGGTCAAATTCAAATTTTGCATTAACTTTGGCAAACTTATTATAATTTAATGGTAAAGATAGTGCAGTTTATATTTAAAATGGCATTATTGTTACATTACAATTCAAAAGCAGGAGATTATAAATCTTTGAAAACATGCAATTAATAAATTTTTCTTGCTACTTGTTCATGAGTAACAAGAAACATTTATTGTTTGTTTTGTAAGATTAATTGTATGGAGTGTAAGATTTATAGAAGAGAGAAAAACATGTTGTCATGTTATGTATAGTCTAGAAAATTTTTAGATTTTGGAACATGTGTTTATCAATTTGTTGTGACTTTGTTTTTGATCTGAGCTTCAAAAACATTAATATGGAAAAATCTTTAAGACATTTTTGTAAGCTGTCATTATTATTATTTTTTTATAATAGTTATCAAATATATAATTAATACACTCATAAATAAATATCTAGACTAATTTCATAAAAATAATAAAATATCTAAAATTACTCCAATTTTTTTTTGTAATAAATTAGAGTAATTTTACACACTTTTTATGAAATTAGTCTAGATATTTCAAATTAAATTTTATAAATTGTTTATTTTAAAATCTTATTTTAATACACAGTTTATATAACCAAACTTTATAAGTTTCCGATGTTAATTTTATACTTTCACTTATTATCATTTAATATCATAATAAAAAATTTATGACCAAGCCAAATCTAAAATAATTTAATCAAATATTTTTTTACTAGAAAAATGATCAGAACCACACTCATAATATTTTAATCTTTGATTAAAAAAAATTACTAAAATGACAAATTTAATCATCGACACAAACTGAAAGTTTATCTGCCAAATTTAAATTAATGAATGGTATATGATAATTACATAATTTCAAATATTAAAGAAAAAATTTTTAGGCTTTGTATAGTTGAAGACATTTTCTCTGTTAACCAATTCTTTTTCTATAAAATAAACAGTTCTAATTTGTAACTACAGTAGAGCGTCGATTATCCGAAAGTCAATCATCCGAAAGAATTCCAGTCGGCAAATTTAAATTTTCGTCAGTGCTGTGGTGCTGCAATCTTTGGCTATGTCTTGGGCTATTCAAATATTTTACGTTTTTGATACTAAATTAACTTCTGAAGTATAATTTTTTATTGTTTTTATATTTTTCAATATATTTATTTTGTTTATACAAAATAAAAAAAAAATAATTTTTAATGGAGAAAAATGTCAAGATGGGATAAATTAATATATTTTTCTGTACATAATCGGTTATCCGAAACATTGATCTTCCGAACAACCCCAGTCCCCAATTGATTCGGATAATCGACGCTCTACTGTATATCTTACAACACGGCATTCAGATTATTTCATTTTTAATTAACAAAAAGCCTTTGATTTGGATTTTCTTCAAAATTACAAAAAGTATTATAATATAAAACTAATAAATATTTAATATGTAAATTTTTCTGCAATAATCTTATATTATGATTTTTAAATAAAATTACTGTATAAATTAAGTGATAATGTATTAGTTATATTTACTAAATTAATAAATTACTAAAGTTTTGAATTCTTATAAAGTATATTTGATATAGAAAAAAATTATTTTTAATATTGGGTATAAGGGAAAGAATAGTTTTTTAAGTAAATTAACTTTTGGTAGGATAGGGAAAGCATACCTGACAAATGTTAATTCTTTTGATATGAAATTCTCTGTTATTTGCATTTTTATGTGTAAATAAAAATTTTTTAATACAGTACTGTATTTTAATGACTATAACCATGATGATCAAACGGCAGCTTTTAACCCTTATTGCAGTTCATGTATACTTATACATTTTTTTTATAAACTTAATCAAAATCATTACCTATGTATGAATATTATTTAAATTTGCTGACCATTATTTATGTGATATACATATGGATTGTATGCAAAACTTGCAACTTAACTTTAAACAGGTAACTGAAAGCTAAAGGGGTATATTTGTAAAGGTAAAAGGATTTCATAAAGTACCAGTAAAGTAATAGTGATATCTAACTATATATAATATAAAATACTATTCTGATAGAAAATGCATCTTTTATGTATTTCTAATAGGTGATATATAGCTCTTATCTTGATAAGACTTGATCATCCCTGACATGTAACTTGTGATATTGTATTCCCTATAGAAAATTGCTAGAACAAAAATAAAACCCTTGCATAATATGTTCCACCATATACTGCATGCCTGTGGAGCAGCCTTTGCTCCATAGGTGTGACTTTGTGATCACAACTTAAAATTGGAGTATAATCTGTCTCATCAAATTATCTTTTTCAAATATGTTTTTTTAAACGTGTATAGTTCTTGGGTTATACAAACAAAAATATGGTACTTATTATACAAATATTTCACTTATTCAGTTGGTGTTTTTTTGTTTTGAATGTTCATAGAAA